GGGAAGGTTAGCATGTAAATTGGGCATCCTTTGTCATTAAAATAAGGATGTGAAATTTTGTTAGACAAAGATAACAAAAGAAACGTATGGGAGATAATTTTAAAGAATGTAAATTGGTGAATGAATGCAGTGATGAATCATTAGAAATATTCTAAGCATTTAATGTACAAATTCATTCGGGTTTTCCGACAAGTGGGTAGAAATAGATAGGAATGGCATTTTGTAAACCAGGATAATGAACGATAGTGTTATCCCAAGTAATGCTAAGATAATCAAAATTATGTTATCAATATGGCGAAAAGTTTCGTTTAAATATTACAAAAATTTAAAGTTTAAGCATGAATTACTAGTTTATTTGAATGTAATAGGTTTTCGACTGTCAAGATCAGAGAAAGCAATCAATTGCTGTTTCAAGAATGATAAAATTTACGAGAAAAGCTAGGTAGTTTATTTTTTGTTGTTTTAACTCCGCTACGTTGATAGTAACCTTCATCGGTCTTATGCAATATAGTACAATTATTGGGATTGCTTTTCTGTTGAACTCGTTTCTCGGCGATACAAATTTATTCGGGAGGTAATATTGTTCTTGTACAATATTACTAGTTAACAACAAGAAAAGGTAAAAAATATGTATGTATATAACACGATGAATTGGTAAGCAATAATGAGTTATACAAAAAGCAAGTAATATGATCAACTAACAAACTCCTTGTCGTTGCCTTGGACAATAATTTGACTGTCGGTTAGTTGACAGGTCGTTGAATTAGGGATGTTAAAGGAAAGGAAATAGAGAATAAAAAGAATATTGTAATTTATTATCCGGTGGTGGCAGATATGCGAAGATGTCGTTGTTTGTGGTTCAGTCATGGAGGATATGCGAAGAGGATGTATTGTTTGCTCGATTGTAAAAGCTAACCTTTTATGGACTTCCCCTTATATTACATATACCTATATGCGGATTAGGAATATATATGGAAATATGGAAATATATATGGATATGGAAATATCATATATATGGTACATATATATGGACATGTATATGGAAACATATATGGATTATATGGATTTGTATATGTAAATTGGGTTTATCATGGAGGTATGATTGCCCTTTTTCTCGACACCAGACAAAGCACTTTTAGGCGATTTGAAGATTAGAGAACTGACTCATCACATTAGGTACAGAAAAAATAAATATTTTTTTTCCATTTTATATTTTTTATATTTTTATAAATATTTATATTTTCGTTTTATATTTTCTTTGCGTAATGTGATGAATCGTGTATCTAGGAAACACTCTGTACAAAAAATATGTCCTGTTTTAACATATTATTAACACATTGACATAACAACACAATAACAAAACAAAAAATTTATCGCTTTATCAATTCAAGAGTGTTTCTTACGAAAAGCATCGGATTCCTCTCCAAAGCAGGCAATCTTCCATCCTCAATTGTGCCATAATTTGTCAATGTTGCTGTAATCATATTGATAATGTCACCGCATGCCATCAAGCAAAAATAATTATGTAAATTAATTTCTTGTCTAATTGAAAGAAGTTAATGAGTGAATCTAAAAAAGTTTTAATATGAATGAAGGAAATCAAATTCGAAGTTTTTGAAGTGAGCAATCACTCAGCATTAAATAGTGCCAGTACGCAATTCACTATGGTCCAAACATACATTCTAATTGCATTGTCCCTATTAATTGGTCATTGTCCCATAACTTGTCAGCTTCACCATGCATAACAATCGCCATAACTGAAATTGTAGCAGAACATATCAGTACAACACTGCGGAACAAATAATAATCTTTGAATTTGTTACTGTCGCTTTAATTACCCCATTAGGATAGGATGGAATTCTGGTTTATACGTTTTATGAACTCCATTTCGTCAAACCATTTGTTTGAGTATTAATTACTCTACTCTCGTTACCTTCGTGGTAAAGAATAAACGTCTGTGACATTCGTACCGATACCAATTATAATTCAAATTACGGGAAAGGTAATGAATGACACGACAGGGGGTGATGGTAAAACTAAAATATAGCATCAACTTGATTTCATTTGGAGGCAAAATAGAATGATAAAAAAAGGACGAATACCTCTTCCGGCATTTCCACCACCCGGCGCTGCACCACAATAAATGACGAAAAGAAGAAATGCGACTAGCTTTGCCATATCTGAAGTCGCTGTTTAAATATTGAGCCAATATTTCCCTAAAGTATTTGTTGCACGGCATCAATTTACTCCGATCTTAACTATGATATTGATCCGGACTCAATCCGGTACGACTTGGTTTGCTAATTCTTTGTATTCATTGTTGGAGCAGTGGCATTTATGAATGAATTTGTTCAAATTTCATACTGATCTTCATGGATTTAGTTTATGATCTCTCGCACTATCATGCCTTTTGTAAAGAATCTGGCTTATAAGTTGAAAAGGAAGGAAAAGGGAGCGAGAGATATGAGCTATCCTTCACAAAAGGGACTATAGAAACCTTGAAAAATACAAATAGATATAAATTAATGGTATGTTAACTAATATTGTTTTCCTGAAATCGGGTGGTCTTTTGTAAGCTGAAGGAGGTTTAATTCAGAGGCCTTAACCCAAGAAAAAGGTTTTTGTCCAATTGATTGGAGAAGGTTGCTGCCTGATTAATAATTAACTAGTTAGGAAGCAATTACTTGCCTCCTAATTAATCGATTAGGAAACGATTATATTCAAAACTTAGCAATGTAACTGATTTTGGTAAGCATTCAGTTTATTAAACACTTATCAACTTCAACCTCATGAATGTTATAATGAAACAAATTTATTATTGAATACTGTAGTTCTCCATGACGGATAACCAGTAAAGCTTTATCAAGAAACATTATGATTTGCTACACAAAACTTTGACGAACACCTACCGTATCTAAGAATATTTTCTTCAGAAATAGTGGAATTATTAATGGTTAAAAATATAAAAATCGCGCTTTTTATACTTCGACAACAGAACCAGTTAATATAGTTGTGGACGTATTTTTTTTGTTCTGTGACCTGATTATTTTCCGTATTTTCTTTCGGATAACAGAAGAATGGATTGAAGTGAATAAATAGAAAAAATAATTGAAGAGAAGTGATGTATATGATAGCGGTAAAACTAAGTTTCAACCACTCAGTTATTTTATTTTGTCGAGATAATTGTTTATCAGCAATTTTATTTTTTAGTAAATTGTTGAAAAACAACTATTTTCCCTAATTATTTAATGACTACAAAAACAAACTGTATCAAATTACAACTTTACGTAATTAATTATTTGGTTTTAGAATGACTTTCTACGATAATTGTCTATTTTGACAACACTAATGAATTTGTCAATAGACTGAAACAACTCTCATTGCATTGAAATTTGGATAATTCAGTCCAAAAGGAAGCCAACACACTTATTTTTAAATTTAAACTCAAAGTCAACACATTTATTCAGTTTTAAATTTAAAAGACATTTAAGATATTGCGAGATATTTCTAAAATACAAAAATACTTTTTGGAAAAATGGCAAAATAATCGCAGTATATCTGTATATTAAAAATAGCGTATAATAAAAAAATAGGTTCATAATAAAGCAATTTATAGTATAAAGATTGTTTCAATTAGAATATTTTAGATGTAAATGATTCGTTACACAAAAAATGAAATAAATATTTCCAGCGCCTTCAGTGGTAAATTACGCAGCTTCCATTATATTGCTGCAACGAATATCTGTCTGATAATTAAACTTATGTGCAATTAATTGTCATCTGATCTGACAATCAAGCTTATTTGCAATGATTGAAGTATTGTGATAAACATGCTGCTTGTATTGATAACTATGCTTGTATTCAATGATTAAAATGCAATACATTTCCATTCAACCAATTCAGCTGCAAATATTCGATATTGTAAACATTCCAGATATATAAAGGGTTAAAATCACCAGTCGGTGCTCATTCAGAAGGATCCTACCCTGCACCCACACGAGATCATAAGCTCTGATTTATCGCAACTCAAAAAATTCATCAAATTTCGTTTCAAGTGACAGGAAGGAACTCAACCCAATGATCTACTATACTAACTATATTCGTTGATAATTATCGGATAAAATCCAAGATCGTCATATTTGCTTTTACACCATTTTCTCCTCCTTTGTTGTAACAAATTGTGGCGTTATTGATTGAATGAATGATCCTGAGAAATTTCAGCGGCAGGACAATCAAATCGAATACAGTTAAGGGATAATGGCCAGTCAATAAAGAAACCTGATTTTATAAGTAAAATTGTGACAAAAACGTGGGTGAAATGACCGAATGCAGTAATATACCTTCTTGTTTGCTATAATTGCCGTAATGAAAGAAGAAAACGAAAAAATGAAACTGAAATTCTACATGAACAGACAAAAGAGATACAATTTGGAAGAGAAATTTCCCTGTCGAGAAACTTTGCGCAGATGATTTCGGAAACACACGA